GGAGGCATTGTACAAATAAACACTATGATACTATGATATTTTAATGGAAACTTTAATGGAAGGGTGCAATGATTGATATTTTACAAGGCTACCATTTCTTCATGTTCAACTCTGGTTTGAGACATATCCTCTGAATCTGTACTGAATCCTTTGGAAAAGATGCCCCAATCCTGGCCATATACTGGCTTGTATTTAGAATACCATACATGACACTCTCTCCCCAAATTATTGCATATTCATGGAAGCAGGTATAGGTTCAGGTGCCTCACCTGTTTGTCCTGAGATTTTTGTAACATGGTAAGCAACCAACAATTTTTCTCTTCAGAGATGGGCATACAGTGTTCACTGGAGCCCATAAAAAAGCAATAAGAAAACTTGCAAAATGGAAGGAAAATCCATCCAACAAAATTATATCCAGGCTCTGCCAGAGACTGGTGCCCAAGGCCCCTTTACCCTTATTTCTGATAGTGTAGTGGTTAACTACAGTATTGCAGGCAAACTCTGCCCACAGAGTTTGATCCTCGAGCCCACAGCTCAAGGTTGACTCAGCCTTCAATCCTTCCAAGGTCAGCAAAACGAGGACCCAGAATGTTGGGGGCAATATGCAAACAATGCTGACATTGTAAACTACCCAAAGAATGATAGAAAGCACTAGGCGGCAGTATACAAGCCTAAATGCTATTTTAAATGAAGGCAAATGTACGTGTCCCAAGATAATGTTGCAGGATCCAATTTGGGTCAGTCATCAGGATCAGAGGTTTAGTCTTCAGAGGTTTTGGACTCTGCTAGAGAGAAGTTCCCTGAGGATGGGCTCCAGCAGGAGTCCAAAAGTTCAAAAGACTAAACCTCTGGTCCCAGTAACCAACCCAGATTGGATCCTGAATGCTATTGCTATTTCAGTCTTATTACTTCACTATCCCAGAGCAAGTAGCAATATATTTTCCTCATATATGCAGATACAAAGCCAGATGCTGGAGTCAGGACAAAGAGGAAAAATCACATGAAGTGTTAATACCACTTTACAATGCCTTGGTAAGGCCACACTTGGAATACTGCATCCAGTTTTGGTCATCAAAATGTAAAAAAAAGATGTTGATACTCTAGAAAGAGTGCAGAGAAGAGCAATAAAGTTGATTAGAGAACTAGAGGCTAAAACATATAAAGAACGGTTGCAGGAATTGGGTATGTCTAGTTTAATGAAGAGAAGGACTAGGGATGACATGATAGCAGTGTTCCAATATTTGAGGGGTTGCTATAAAGAAGAGGGAGTCAAGCTATTCTCCAAAACATCTGAAGGTAGAACAAGAAGCAATGGATGGAAACTAATCAAGGAAAGAAGCAACTTAGAACTAAGGAGAAATTTCCTGACTGTTAGAACAATTAATCAGTGGAACAACTTGCCTCCAGAAGTTGTGAATGCTCCAACACTGGAAGTTTTTAAGAGATTGGACAACCATTTGTCTGAAATGATGTATAAGGTTTCCTGCCTGAGCAGGGGGTTAGACTAGAAGACCTCCAAGTTCCCTTCCAACTCTGTTATTCTGAAAACCTGGAGAATAGCTGCAAGGTTACTAGTGGTACCATTAGAAGGCTAGAGTGAAGAGCCAGGAATAGGCAATAGGGCAGAGGCAAAAAGGCTTAACATTAGCACCTGAACTGATTTGGGCATAAGATGATGGTCTTACCTATATCATTTCCATACCTTTCCATCTTTAGACCCAGCATATATCAGTTTATTTTATTATTTGTACACATACAAATAAAATTGTTATCCTCAAAGAAATGTGTTCAGCTCCAGGGCAAAACCTCATTTTTATTCAGAGGCCCTGTTGAAGAAAGCTCCTGAGAATGCTGCAGACAGCTGAGAAAGGAAACCCATGTATCACTGACCAAATCAAGCCAGATAATAAAAAGTGGGTTTAAATGAGTTTGAAGCAGAAAGTAGAATATCCTTAGAATGCTTCTTCATGAGCAGTTATTATTGGGGTGGGCAAAGTGCTTGGATTTTTATTCTTTGAAACCCAATGGAACACTGGATGGACATTATATAAAGAAGTCAGGATTTTGGCCACTGGCTTGGAACGCTCTCGGTTGCTCCATTCTTAACCCCCCTTTGTTTCTCTGATCATGTAATTGGATAGAATTCCAGCTGCCATATCTGCCTGCTTTCCCCAACCTGTTTTGTCTCACTGCTGGGGTTAGAAGCAGCAGTGAGTAGTAGGGAGTGGGAAATAATGTTGTTTGTGAGTTTCCTAACTTACACAGTGTCCATAGTCTTCAAAAGGGAAAGTTAGAGACTTCCAGAGCAATCTAAGAATAGGATTGTCCGAGTTTCTAAATCATGTGAACGCTCTGGTAACTAGATTATGCTCTCCAACTTGTACAAGGCAGATATTGTCATAACAAGCAGAAAAAACAATAGTACATCTTAAAATAAGTAATTATGCTCCTCCAAAACATTGCTAAATGATACAATTCCCAGTATCCTTAGGGCAGGGGTAGGCAACCGTGGCTCTTTTATGACTCCTGGACTTCAATTCCCAGAATAACACTGGAGCACTGAACTTAAAGGAGGCAATAACTGGCTAACATGTAGTATAGCAACCTTGCTGAAACAAACCTGGTTTTTAATCTGGTCAATATGTAAATAGGATATTGGCTGAGATCCCGAGAGGTGGGATGTGTATGTGTTTCTGTGTGTATTTGTGTGTGTGTGTGTGTGTCTGTGTGTCTGTGTGTCTGTGTGTGTGTGTATTGTGTTGCGTTGTGCCTTCAACTCAGTGTTGATTCCTGGTGACAGTGTGGACAGGTCCCTGCAGCTTTCTTTGCAAGGTTTTTCAGGAGCGATTTGCCCTTGCCTGCTTCCTAGGGCTGAAAGAGAGTGACTGGCCAACAGTTTGCTGACTTTCTGCCTCAAGCAGGATTGAGACTCACAGTTTCTAGCCTGATGCCTCAAACAACATAGTTTCTAAAGTATCTCACCAGCTTACCTTGCCTGAAGTCAGGGGTAGGCAACCTTGGCTCTTTTATGACTCGTGGACTTCAACTCCCAGAATTCCTGAGCCAGCCATGTTGGCTCAGGAATTCTGGGAGTTGAAGTCCACGAGTCATAAAAGAGCCAAGGTTGCCTACCCCCGCCTTAGGGAATGTGGCCAATGCTGAGAGTAGGGGGGTTGTAATTTAGTAGCATCTGGAACACAAGACATTTGCTAATCATATTGAAATCAGAGTTCCCACATAGTTTAGGACACATAACTTCTAGGGACTTTTAACATCTGAATGCAGGATTTGCTTCAATTCTAGCAATCATAGTAATGGGGAGTAACCATAGGTGTTATAGCCCAAAATATTTGGAAGACGACCCAGATAAATAACTTGTTTTCTTCAACCCTTGATTGTGTAGCCAAAAATATGACCAAATAGAAAAACACATCTCCCAAATCCTACTGTACTGCCTTATCACGGCAGTGGGTTATTCCTGGGATGGATGAGCAAAGAATGCCTGGAGAGTCTCCCAAGATTATATAGTCCCAGCAGGGTCTCTTGATAGGACATAATCAGTTGATCAATCAGAAAAGTGAACAGTACATGGGGTGAAGTTGGGTGGAGTGCAATTCCTTGCTATTCATTTTCAGACAGGCCAGAAGAGTATGAGAACCAGTTTGGTGTAGTGGTTAAAACATCAGGCTAGAAAATGGGAGGATTGTGAGTTCTTCTCCCATCTTAGCCACAAAGCCAGCTGCGTTACTTTGGACCTGTCAGAAGTAAGTCTTCATCCTGGTTCACCCAAGCCGGGGATAAATAAGCAACATGGCGACTGCTTTGGGAAGAAGGTTACAGTTTTTGAAGAAGCAGAAAGATGATCCTTGCAAGAAAGAGCAGAGGAGAAGAAAGAGGAGTTGAGCACATGGGCAGTAGGTTTTTATACCCCCTCTAGCCTTGTTTGGAATAGTTTCCTGTTCCTGTGGCATGAACCTTGAGGCTATTTCTGGGTGTTTTTCTAGGCCTTGATATCTGTGGTTTAATCCTATTATCATATCCTGCTTCCCAGGTGATGGGGCTAATGACTCCTAGCATTTGGGTAGGGCATGCAGATTTTCTCTTTGTCTTCTTGAGTGCTCTGGCTTCAACTTTCTGATGGTTTTACATCTGCATTTGTATGGGGCTAGCTCTTGCTTGGGGCAGAGAGATAGATTTGGGGCCAGGTTTGGTTTTAAAAAAATCCTTTTGAGGAAAAATATATTTTTCTGCCCTTTTAATATTTCCTTCTCTGGGCTAACTTCCCTCAGACCAGTCCTTTCGTCTCAGCCCTAGGAAGGAGGCAATGCACACTGCTTCTGAAAAACCTTGCCAAGAAAACTGCAGGGACTTGTTCAGGCAGTGACCAGCTGTTCATGCTGACTCAGAGGCATATGTGTGCATGCATACACACACACACACACAAAACACCTCCTACACCTATTCCATAGCTATATAGTTAAGTCTGGCCTAATTACATTGTTCCACTTCCTTCCTCCTCCATCTAGAACTAATGTAAACAGCTAATACAAAATCTTTCCATCTCTAATCAGATAAGAGGCTGTGATAATCTCTATAAAGCTCACTCCTTTCTGGTTCCCATAAGTATTTGTTTTCTATCTGCAGCTGTGAATCAATGTCAGAAAAAGAAGAGATAAGCAAGCAACAAAATACTGTATTGCTGAAGCAAGTGTGACTAGTGGGAGGGTATCTTAACTGAGGAATATGAAGCTCTCCTTCTGCAATTTAAGAGTGGCACAGTCCATTCCAGTCTTTATGATTAGTCAGAAAGTAATATGCTACCATATAGTGCAATATGATATTCTGAAGTACTCACCTGTGTTGAAATTATGGGTTCATGAGAAACTTGATATTTTGCTTGTGTAAAGTAATACTGGCCAAATTCTTATACGCGGTATAAGTATTGAAAATATAAGACTTTTCTGTTAGCATAAAAAAGGGTCATGCAGCATTCATCACAATCCCATTAACTGTGATTTTTTATTCCTGAATTCCAGCCTTCTCACATTTAAATAAATTTAAATATCATGTACCCTTCCTTCAGGTGCCAACTTTAGCGTGCCAACTCCCTAGACTTCTATACGCTGACTTAAATCAGGTGATATCCATTCCTTGTATTCCTGTATACAAAAGTTAAACAAATCAAACTGTAGTCCTTACGCGTATTCACTGGGAATTGAACTGCAAATGTTTACAGGGATAAAATGCTAATGCAAGTATATACAATCCAACCCACTACAGAACAGAAGATTATCTATAAATTTCTCAGCTCTCCTTCACTGGGTGTTAAAAAGTTATTCTTATGTTCACAAGGCCCTTTTGACAATTCTGTCTCCTCTTCCCATATCTCGACTGAAGGGTTCTTCATCATTCCAGACATTTCTGCGAATTAAAAAAAAAGAAGCAAATTATTTGGTTTTTAAACTTTTCTACACTATTAGCATCCATCATTATTTCCGGACATATCATTCAAATGTTTCTCTGGAACCCCACTCATGAGTAATAAAGACTTTGGTTTCACTCATCAATTTGGATAAGTGAAGATGTTTTGTTTGCAATAGGAACCTTTTTAAAACAAATTTGGAGATTCAGAATGCATTTTGAGTCTGAAATTCAGGATTCAGTTCTGTGTTCTTTTCAGGAATGTAAGGAGACTCTCTGGGCCTCTGTACAAACCCTGTCAGAAAAAGGACCACTAGATTTGGGCTGCAAAAATCTGGGTGACCAGGAGATGGAAGCAAAGAGTTAGAGGTTTCCGTATAGTATGTTCTGTATGTTCTCTAGTCAGGAACCTCTGAGTCTAGCTTCCTCATTCCCCACAGGCCACTTTGACACACAACTCTACCAAGAATGGAAACTGGTGAAATCATCCATTGTGCAAATCTATATTTTATGTCAGAATCCATGTTCAGTTTTGCAACTATTTTTAAGTAGGTCAGACAGACTTAAAACAGAAACAGGGTAATATTTCCTTGGGGACCTTGAACAATGCAATGTAACTTGGCCTGTATGCCTGAGGTAGCCTCATTCCTTGTATAACAGCTGACATTTTTGCCTTAAAAGCCTTCCTTTCAGGTTGAAGAAGGCGGAAGGGGGGGGGGGAGATGTTGGATGACACTGTCATGTCCTCAATCCACAGGCAACTTCCACAATAAACACCAGAGCCAGAATTCTGGAAGACGAAATTTTGAGTCTCAACGCATCTTAAGAGAAGCCCTTAAAAATCTTCCCATGAGGATGTTCTCAGGAAGGGCCTAGATCAGTGGTTCTCAACCTTTTTAATGCTGCGACCCCCAACCGGTCGTAAGTCGAGGACTACTCAACTGGTGCAGGACCGTTTGCAGAATGGGACTTTTGGTGGGCTCAGCAGGGCAGAGACAGCCTGGACAATTCCTATTGGATTTTGAAAGCCAATAGAATTAGACTCTATTCAAGAGAGTCTATTCTATTAGCTTTCAAAAGCCAATAGAATAAAAGGGAGTAGCACAGCTAAGGAAAAGGGGGGGAAAATGGCGGACTGCGTTGTTTGGCGACCCCTGTGAAATGGTCATTCCACCCCAAATGGGGTCCCGACCCACAGGTTGAGAACCACTGGCCTAGATATAATGAGAAACCTTGTTGAAAATATTGCAGGGAAATTTTTCAATGCAAGTAAAAAATCAGCTCCAGCATCTATCATATGTCTTCCAATGACAATCTTAACAAAGGTGTGGGTCATTGGGACACAAGAGACTAAGACCCAAAGGCTATTAGTGTTTCCCTCTCTTTCCTTGTGCCTACCTCTTCTCCATCCCTGTTTGCCTACCATTTTGCAATTAAATTCATGATCTGTTCCCCTCAGCAAAGAGAGAGGGAGCAAACAGCTTGCAGGCCTCAGTGCAAATCCAATTATTCTGTGGCAAGGTTCACATCCTTTGGTTTGATTTGCAGAACTCAAACAATGTCTGGCCCAAGACATGACGCATGACTTGCCCACCGTCAGAAAGCTCCAAAGGATTAGCTCTGTTTGTTTTTCATTATTGATTATATTTGTCATGGGGGTTATTCACTCTGCTTCTGTTTCATTCAACACACTCATAGCTCAAAGTAAAATGTGATACCTGAGCTGTAACTTATAACTGGCTACGTGTGCCTACATGTACTAACTATGGTGTTTGTGTTTACTAGGGCTAAGTGTTCCTTGATCAACTAGGGGATAGTTGATTGAAACAAGATTGAAACTCTTCATGACAAACTGCTTCAAGAATTTCCAGCAAGGTTTGATATGAAGCCATCTGATAATGGAAAATAAATTTTTGAATCAAACTTAAGATGAATTCTGTAGCTGACAATGGACAGGAGTTTAGGGGAATTAATCACACTTGTGTGAAGAGCCATCAGTATAGATTCTTGTATTATCTTTGTAAATGCAAGAAACAAGGGATGTGGAAGGGTATCCTGTGTTCTTTATGCCAACAGATCTCAGCAATTTGCCATCTCCCTGATTTCTCACACCCACGGAAAGACATCTAGGGAGAACTTTCCCCATGTCCAGGTCAAAACCTATGGGCAGTTTGGGAAGCTGTAAAGCAGTGGTTCTCAACCTGTGGGTTGGGACCCCATCTGGGGTCGAACGACCATTTCACGGGGGTCGCCAAACAACACAGTCCGTCATTTTTCCCCCCCCTTTTCCTTAGCTGTGCTACTCCCTTTTATTCTATTGGCTTTTGAAAGCCAATAGAATAGACTCTCTTGAATAGAGTCTAATTCTATTGGCTTTCAAAAGCCAATAGGAATTGTCCAGGCTGTCTCTGCCCTGCTGAGACCGCCAAAAGTCCCATTCTGCAAACGGTGCTGCACCAGTTGAGTAGTCCTCGACTTACGACCGGTTGAGTAGTCTCGACTTACGACCAGTTGGGGGTCACGGCATTAAAAAGGTTGAGAACCACTGCTGTAAAGGGAAGGGAGAGGAGTTTTTAATCTATGCCAGAATTTCAAGAAATGAATTCTTGATATGGGCTATTTGCCAGCAGGTCAATTAAATAAATTCTAACAGAGGATATGGAAGAGGACTTTCAAGCAATCAGCTCAATTTTTCTGGAGCCTTATAGTGAAACTTTCCAGGATTTTTTAAACCAATTTTATATTTTAGATCAGTGGCTCCCAACCTTTTCTATACCCCGCACCCTAAAACGCTTCTGACTTATTCTCGCACTCCTTACAAAAGTTCAAAATAACGACAACAAATTATGCATTTACACTATAATTTTGAAAACCCAAGTTTTTACACCCTCTGGAATATCGTCTCGCACCCCTGGTTGGGAACCTCTGTTTTAGATTGTCTCCTTAAATTATTAATTCATAAATCAGACCCTAAGGCAGGGGTAGGCAACCTTGGCTCTTTTATGACTCGTGGACTTCAATTCCCAGAATTCCTGAGCCAGCATGGCTCAGCTTGGAAACCTCTCCCTTTCCCCTCAGCATGGCTGGCTCAGGAATTCTGGGAATTGAAGTCCATGAGTCATAAAAGAGCCAAGGTTGCCTACCCCTGCCCTAGGGTGAGTATCAATGTTAGTAGTACAACTAAAATAGAAATTCAATTATTTATTTGATTATCATTTTATTTTATTTTGTGGTATTATACTGTATCATTATTAAGCAAACAAATAACGGGGGGGGGGGGGGGGGAATCTGCTGTGCATGTTCCAAGCTGCCTCAAGAGTTGCTCTCAACCCTGACTACAGCCTCAGGACATTTTTTTCCCCTTTTTAGCTGGACCTCTTTCAGTTGGATTATAATTCTCGCCACTATTTTAATTAGATTTTAGCAATTTGTATTTTATTTTGAACTGTTGCTTTAAATCTCCCATGGATGGAAAGGAGGGTATATGTGGAAATAATGCAAAGTGCCTTGCTCAAGTATGTATGACTAACAGTTGGGTGATTGATAAAGTCAGATAAACAATAAAACAAATGAACAAACAAACATATAATAGCAAAGTCTCCATGTTGCCAGTGGTGTCTTGAGAATGGAATAATATCGGACTGAAGGTACTTATACAAGATTATTTTGGAACTGAAGCTTTCCTTGAAAGCATACCTCTCGTTAGACAGAACCAAGCCCTTTAAAATTCAATTTCTTGAAGATGATCCTGGTAAAGTAAGGGGACTACATGTACTATAGTGCATAACATTACAATGCATAACACTGGAGCACTGAACCTAAAGGAGGCAATAACTGACTAACATGTAGTATAGCAACTTTGCTGAAACAAACATGGTTTTTAATCTGGTCAATATGTAAATAGGATATTGGCTGAGATCCCGAGAGGTGGGATGTGTATGTGTGTGTGTGTGTATTTGTGTGTGTGTGTGTGTATTTGTGTGTGGTGTTGCATTGTGCCTTCAACTCAGTGTTGATTCCTCGTGACAGCATGGACAGGTCCCTGCAGCTTTCTTGGCAAGGTTTTTCAGGAGCAGTTTGCCCTTGCCTGCTTGCTAGGGCTGAGACAGAGTGACTGGCCAACAGTTTGCTGACTTTCTGCCTCAAGTAGGATTGAGATTCACAGTTTCTAGCCTGATGCCTCAAACAACATAATTTCCAAAGCATCTCACCAGTTTACCTTACCTGAAGTCAGGGGTAGGCAACCTTGGCTCTTTTATGATTCATGGACTTCAACTCCCAAAATTCCTGAGCCAGCCATGCTGGCTCAGAAATTCTGGGAGTTGAGGTCCACAAATCATAAAAGAGCCAAGGTTGCCTACCCCTACCTGAAGTAAAGCATTTACTGCTTCACATAATGTTCTGCAATTAAAAAAAAATAAAGATGAGCGGGAAAAAAAGATTTGGATTTCTGGAGAAAGAGCACTGTTTAAAGAATTGTTAGACACCTCCCCCACTCCCACCCTCACCTTTTTCCAGGCAATATTGATTCTAGTACGCTACTTCACATTCTCTTTGCTCTGCAATTAAAAATAAGTTCTGGTGCATAGATATATCATTAAATGCCAGACTGGAGCCTCAGGCTGCAATTACAACTCTATGCTCCCTGATGAGGGTTTGTAAAAGTGTCAGAAGACAAAGGCCTTCATCACATCTGTGTTATTATGCCCTGAATTCTTTCCCTGCTTCTATTAGGAGGATGAGGTGGGTGTGATAAGAACTACAGGTCTCCTCCCAAATGTCAGATTACAGGAAGCCATTCTCCATACCTGAGGGAACAGTACCACCACAAACTTGCCTGCTTACCTCTAGCTGTGAAAAAAAGCCAATGCCAAGGAAGACTGTGCAATCTTATCTATGATATCTAGAACTGGGCCTTGCTTACCTTGCCAGGTTCAGTGCTTTGCTGAATGAGGAACTCTCTGATCTCCTGAGCTTGAGTTCCAGAATGGACATATGATTGGATATGACTAGTCTTTGCAGCTTTCTTGGCAAGGTTTTTCAGAAGTGATTTGCCATTACCTCCTTCCTAGGGCTGAAAGAAAGTGCCTGGCCCAAGGACACCCAATTGGCTTTGTGCCTAAAACTCAGTCTTCCAGTTCCTGGCCTGATGCCTTAACCCAGGGGTCTTCAAACCTGGCCCTTTTATGACTTGTGGACTTCAACTCCCAGAATTCCTCAGCCAGTGTGCCTGGCTGAGGAATTCTGGGAGTTGAAGTCCACAAGTCATAAAAGGGCCAGGTTTGAAGACTCCTGCCTTAACCATTACACCACAATGCCAAACTATTCTTAAAATTTTGGATATACGAAAGCAAATAAGGGAAAACTGGCAAAGGGCTTATATAATTCCCTTAATAAGAGGCAGAAAAATGTGAAGTGTCTTTTCCTGCTGTCTTCTGTTCTCTGCAGCTCTCACTGATTGCCCCCCTTAAAGGATTACTACTGCTGGATCTAAGATTAGTATCCTATTAAGTCCAATGGAGAAATTGTTCCTTATGCTCAGACATTGTTGAATTACAGCTACCAAATCCACTCACCACCACCCCCTTCTCTTTCTGACATGGTCTTTTGCTTCCCTCTGTCCCCAATGGTTTACCAAGAATAAGATAAATTTTTCCTGCCAGAGGTCTCATTTTCATCTGTTCCAGAAGGCTGTTGAAAATGGACCAAGAGCTGTATGCAACAATGAGAAACAATGATGACCCATCCTTAAGGTGACCAACCGTCCTCCTTTAGGGAGGACAGTCCTCCTTTTGTAAGTTCTGTCCTCCCTCGAAAAGTGTCCTCCTACATGTCCTCCTTTTTGATATTTGAAGATTAATCTGCAGGGCTTTTTTTTCTCATAGAACGCTCAGAATGGCGTTCCGGCACCTTTTTTTGATGTTTTTTTTTAACTTTTGCATGAGCTATGCTACTCCCACTATTGGCTTTCAAAAGCCAATAGGAATTGCTGCTGAGCACGCCAAAACACCCGGCTGGCAAACTTTGCACATGCAAGTTGTCTGTATTATTGTTGCAATGAATAAAATGGTTTTTTTTATTTACAGTATTTTTTTCTTCAATTTATTTGTGTCCTCCTTTTCATTGTAAAAAAGTTGGTCACCTTACCATCCTATTTTTCAAGTAAAAGACTCTACCTTCCTCTGATTTTGAGATAAATCCCAAGATGCAAATCAAACATTTGTGATTTCTCACTAATTCAAGCGGCACAACAGATAATATTACATCAGCATTCTATCCTACTATCTTTTTAACATTTTGATTTTAAAATGCTATTGGGAGTATCTGAATGAGATATCTTTTCAGTAATTTCCTCCTGGTGCCTCCCTGTTACCACACTGCTTGGAGAGGGCTCTTTTCTGCTTGAGCTTTTGTAGCATGATGCTCTTACTGTGGGCCATGAACGTTATTCCTTATGCACTGACCCAGTTACATAAAACATGAATGCCTTATTTCAGGGGGGGAGAAAAAAGTCTTTAGACATATCCTCTCTGATCATTTGTTTGACATTTTGCCAAAAAAAAAACACCAATGGATGACTGGATGACTGTCTTTAGCATCAAAAAGTGAAATCACATCTGTCTCAGGAGCAGTTGGGTTCTTTAAAAAAAATTGGAAAAACAACTTCATGCGATAGTGATACATAGTAAGAAAAGTTTTATTTTTTTCCTGCTTCATAAATATATTAAGGTTTCTTGTCGTAGACCAAGCTGCTTCCCTTCTGCCATTAATCTTTGAACATCTGGACAATAATGTGCTTGCCAGTGGCTCTCTTTGGTTTCAAAGTATTCTTATCTCTTTCTATAGCAGCCATAGGGGACTTTTGACCTGACAACCTAATTTGGTACTTTTCTATCCAGCCTACAAGATTTTTAGGGGGGCCCACCAAATTCCAAATCCCTGCTTCCTCTCCCATATTTTGACTTTCTGCCTGTAGATGTCCTGCTCTATCCTGCCCTTTAAAACAGGGATCTCCAACCCCCAGGCCGCAGACCGGTGTGGTCTGTGGCCTGTTGAGAACTGGGCTGCACAGCTGGAGGTGCAGCTGTTTATGTGTGGGATCTAGGTTGCACACTCCTCCCTCTCCACCCCCGGTCCATGGAAAAATTGTCTTACAGGAAACCAATCCCTGGTGCCAAAAAAGTTGGAGACCGCTGCTTTAAAACATAGAGAGTTGCCATGGTTTGAACATGTAATTTTCTATAGAAAAAGCAGGTATTCCATTCCTGTAATTCCTCGTTTAAAAATACTTCCAGGTAGTTGAGGAGAATTTGAAGATGAGGATTTTGGTGTCAGAGTCAGGGAGGAAGATTGAGGCCATCATTCTAGAGTGAATTTTTAGGGTTGGATCTGTGAGGTGGGAGATGAAGAGAAAAAGTATCATTGTAGGCCAAGATTTGTGCGTTTTCAATAATTGGGTAAATCCAGCTACGTAGAGGAGCCCTGAAGAAAAAAACTCTTGGAACACTTCAGTTCTTCCCAGACCTTTATCCCCCCCACCACCACCAAATGCCAGCAGTGGCATAGCCCACTTACTCACTACTTCTCCCTGGATGAAAGAAAGGGTAAAATGTGCTACTTCCAGGACTGGTGTCAGGATATAGCAACTGTGGGAAGAGGAGGAAGATATTTGCAGAGTTTATTTTCAAATCTTGAGGAGTGACCCAGGTGGAAAACCAAAGAACTACCCCTACTTTCTCTACATCTCTCTTCTTTCTTTCCTCATTCCTCACTTTGATTTTGAGAAGGCTCCTTAGAATACCATGGGCAGCCAAGAAAATAAACAAGTGGGTCATGAACAAATCAACCCAGAGTTCTCACTCTGGGTACAAATGACCAAGCTCAAATTGGAGAAGGCTCTAATATTGGGAAATATGAAAGAAAAGACAAGATGAGGACAACTAGTAGCAAGGTGGGTGTACAACGTTACAATGGTACACCATTACCTGAAGGACCAGTTTGGAGACAGATTCCAATTTGGAAAAATCTATCCATATGGGTGCCAAGAGTTGACACCAACCTGATGACACATAATCAGTTCAACTCAAATGCAATCATTAATATAGCACGCAATAAGTTATTATTACCAATAAAGGAGAATATTTGTAGCTCAGGGTTGAAACGAGAGGTGCTTGGTGCTCTCTGAGCTTGGTCGGGGTTTTTTTGCAGACGTTTCATTACCCAAATTATGTGACATCAACAGCAGCACTGATGTTATTACCTAGTTTGGGCAATGAAATGTCTGCAAGAAAACCACCAAGCTCAGAGAGCACCAAGGACCCCTTAAATTATTATTAGTTACTAATGATGAACATTAAATGATCATTTAATATAATTATGAATACAGTATACAATAAATTATACATTTATATAGAATCGGGGAGGAAGGGAAATGCATCTTGTAATATTTCATATAGGGTAGTATGCAGGGGAGGAAGGGAAATGCATCTTGTAATATTTCATATAGGGTAGTATGCAGCCATTATTATGAAATAAGTAACACAGATAAAATAGAGCCTTCAAAACATAGTAGCATAGTTAATGCCTCTAAGATAATGTCTATGGAAACATAATACAATAAAATTTCAATTTAATAGACTAATTTGGAGAACAGGGTGTCCATTACTCCCAGTTGTCCATTAAATACAAAAGTGTATCTTTTGCATTAACTTAGGTCATTTGGATAAGGACTTAAGTAGATGGTAATGACATAAATCACACAAATGTCATAACATTAAGATAAAATTAAGATATATTTAGCCTACATTTTCCAGACTACTTCAAATTTCTTGTTCATTATTTTGAGGTGATATCTGGAGAATTCTCAATGGATTGAGAAATTTGATCCATTACATCTGAAATCTGCTAAAAGGGGATCTGTTACATTGAGGATGCAGACACCAAAATAAGGAAGAGATAAGGAATCCCACAAGGACAATTGGAACTGGAGAAGTCAACAATGAAGTTGCAACTGGTGCTAGCCTGTAGCAGTTCATGGGGACAAACTGATCTTATGTCATAAACCAGAGGTGTCAAACTGCCGGCCTGCGGCCTGGTTTCATCATACCAAAGCGGTGCCCACCCCATTGCTAGCAATGCAAAAAGAGTGGCGATATGCCGCAACACGTCACATGACATGGCGAGTTTGACACCCGAGTCATAAACAGTTAAAACAGCTCTATGAAATACCTTCAGAGGAGGCTGGCTCACAGTCAGATTCTATACTGTCTTCTGTTATTTCTCCTCAATCAAAGGAAGTTGTTCCCCCTTGATGTTTGAAGACCATTCCTCCTTCAGGAGAGGATGACCTTCTTTTCCCAGGGAATGGTCCATTGCCAACCTACTGAATCCTACCTTGCGTCGTTTTCTCAGGAGCTTCCCTCCAATAGCACTCGCAGAAACTAAGATCCTAATTGCTTTCCCCTTCTGGTCAATGTTTTTCTTCATTTCCTGAATGACTCCAAAGGAGGACAGGAAGACGACAAAGCTAATGACACTTGCAAGGCAAAAGCAGGCAAGTACATAAAAGATACAGGAAAGGGTTGAAGCAATAGTTAAATCTGTTACTAGGAGAAAGAGCTGAAAGAGGTGAAGTCCCATTATACCAGGCAGAGTTGTACTTCTTGCTCCTTTGCTTACTAGCTTGCAGAGAAATCTTCTGGAAGGGAGGTGCGTGGTATGCAATTATGTCATTAGAAAACCTCCCACTCTTGTGAAACATGTAAAAGTGACTCTCAACCCTGCTGGGAGATTGAATCGTTGTCCCAGCTAGAGTAGCATTTCTAAATCATTGTCTCTGTAAAGAGGGCCAGAGGTGCTCCTGAGATCTGGCAGCTCTGTATACATTTTTTTTTTTTCATAATAGCCTGTTAGGCTGAAATTCAACATTGGCTGAAATGTTGCAGTTCCCCAGAGCCATGCAAGTCAGTGGAGTCTAGTCTAGTTGCAAAGAACCAGTTGAAGTTAATTTCACAAGAAAGGAAGAGGGGAGGGGAGGGGAGGGGAGGGGAGGGGAGGGGAGGAGAGGAGAGGAGAGGAGGAACATCACTAAATTAAGGTTACCCTTTTAAGATACTAAAATATTCCAGCTTAGATTTATTAGGCAAAGTCAAGATTACAGAATTCTTTAGCCGGAAAATGTGGGAAGGGGAGCAATTTAAAAATAGCTTATGATCAGACATAGAATTGGCACTGATATCATCCTTTAAAAAATCTGTACAACCGCTTCTGTTTTGGATGATGAGTTTGCAGGGACTCACTGCGAATTCTGTTAGACTGGTATTGCTTGCTTCTTGGGTTCCTTTGTCTCCATGACCTGGGATGGCAGGATTCCAACCACAAAGCCTTGGGACTGTCAAGGTCTCAGAATTGCTACTAAATGGATATTGAAATCACCATTAAGTTCTAGCCAAGGTGCAGTCTTTTTTTGTCGATATAAGTATGTATTAGCATTCTATAAGTTCTGGCATTAAATATCAGTGAATGTGAATGTGAATCTTATATCTTGTTAGTAGGATTACCAGAACTTCATTATTTCATAACTAACTATTTACAACATGATGCATTATCTTCTTTGATAGTATGATTTCTAAAATGATGATAATGAATAGGAGGAAATTCCCATGTAGATTATCATGATTAGGTGTGCCTCAGTTGTAGAAGCATGAGTCACACCAACAAATATGTTTATATTCTTTTAAATAAGATTACCAGATCTGGGCTGCAAAAATCTGCACCATCAGGTATTAGCAAGAAGATCCAGAAAACCCTTTAATGTCATCATGTTGCCTATAATAATAATAATAATGATGATGATGATGATGATGATAATAATAATAGTAAAGTTGGAAGGGACCTTGGAGGTCATCTAGTCCAACCCCCTGCTCAGGCAGGAACCCTACACCATTTCGGACAAATGGCTGTCCAGTCTCTTCTTAAAAACTTCCAGTGTTGGAGCATTTACTGCTTCTGGAGGCAAGCTGTTCCACTGATTAATTTTTCTCACTGTCAGGAAGTTTCTCCTTAGTTCTAGGTTGCTTCTCTCCTTGATTAGTTTCCACCCGTTGCTTCTTGTCCTGCCTTCAGGTGCTTTGGAAAATAGCTTAATTCCCTCTTCTTTATGGCAGCCCCTGAGATCTTGGAATACTGCTATCATGTCCCCCCTTGTCCTTCTCTTCGTTAAACTAGACATACCCAATTGTGGCAACCGTTCCTTATATGTTTTAACCTCCAGTCCCCTAATCATCTTTGTTGCTCTTCTCTGTACTCTTTCTAGAGTCTCAACATCTTTTTTACATCGTGGTGACCAAAATTTTGGTCTAAATTTGCCTCTAAATTTTGGGCAGTCCAGATTTCATAGTTTTTGTTCAGAAGTTAATTTGTTTCTGGCTCATAGTAATGAATGTACCAATTCACTAGGATTGTAATTGTCCTTTGAGTTCTTGTAAACTCATGCAGGCATCATCAACGACTGTATCTAACCAGATTTCTTGGCCTTCTTTTAAATTGTTTTCCAGCCATACCCAATTCCTGCAACTATTCTTCATATGTTTTATTCTCCAGACCTTTAATCATCTTAGTTGCTCTTCTTTGCACTTTTTCCAAAGTCTCAACATCTTTTTTGTAATGTAGCGATCAGAACTGGATGCAGTATTCCAGGTATGACCTTACTAAGGCTTTATAAAGCAGTACTAATACCTCACATGATTTTGATTCTATGCCTCTGTTTACACAACCAAGGATTATATTAGCTTTTTTGGCTGCTGCCTCACACTGCTGACTCATATTTAAGTGATCATCCACTAGGACTTCAAGGTCCCTCTCACAGTTATTTTTTGAGCCAGGTTTTGCTTAGTCTGCACTTGTATCTTTGATTTCTTTTGCCTAGGTGTAAAACTTTGCTTTTCTCCATATTAAAATTCAATTTGTTGGATAGGGCCCATTGTTCAAGTCTGCCAAGATCTTTTTGGATCCTGAGCTTGTCTTCTGGGGTGTTGGTTATTCCTGCCACCTTAGTATCATCTGCAAATTTGATGAGTTCCCCTTCCATTTCCTCATCTAAGTCATTTATGAAGATATTGAAGAGTACTGGACCTAAGATAGAACTTCCTTCCTTCCATGTAGATGTAGTACAATTAAGAATTACTCATTGAGTACAGTTTGTCAGCCAGTTACAAATTAATCTGGTGGTGATGCTATCTATGCCACATTTTTCTAGCTTATCAAGAAGCCGGTTGTGGCCTACTTTGTCAAATGCCTTACTAAAGTCTAAGTATACTATGTCCACTGACTTTCACTGGTCTACTAATTTAGTCACTTTGTTAAAGAATGAAATAAGATTGGTTTGGCATGATCTGTTTTTAACAAAGCCATGCTGGTTTCTAGTTATAAACTTTATTTATCTAGATATTTGCAGATCTGTTTCTTTTTTTTTTTTTTTAATCTTATCCAGTATCTTCCCAGGTGTGGATTTTAAGTTGATTGGTCTGTAATTTCCTGGGTCTGTTTTTTCTTTCTTTCCTTTTTTGAAGAGGGAACCACATCAGCTCTTTTCCAATCCTCAGGTAGTTCTCTGATGCATCAAGATTTTTGAAAGATACGGTACAATGATTCTGAGATAACATCTGCCAACTCCTTTGGAACTTTGTGATGTAATCCATGATGTCTCAATGATTTATATTCATCAAGATCAGACAGATGTTCTCTTACCATTTTCTTGCTTATTTTAAATTTTATTTCTAATCTATCTTTTATAGTTATGTTTTTGGTAATTTGGACTATAGTTTTTTTTTGCGTGAAGACTGATGCAAAGAATGAGCTAAGCAGTTCTGCTTTCTCTCTATTGCATATTACTTCCTTGCCATCTTCTCTCTTTAGTGGACCAACTGTTTCTTTGACTTTTTCTTATTATTTATATGTTGAAAGAAAACTTGTTTTATTATCTTTGACTTTTGTTGTAAGTCTTTGTTGATTCTGAGTCTTTGCTTTCCTGACTTCACCTTTGCAGATTTGGGCTATCTGCTGATATTCTGGTTTAGTTATGTGTCCCTCTTTCCATTTTTTGTACTGATCCTTTTTATTGTTCAGTTTATCAGAGATCTTTGTGCAACCATGCTGGTTTCTTCTTGGATTTTTTTTCTTTTTCTTTTTCAGTGGTATTGTGCTGAAGTGGGCTTTTATGATCATATTTTTCACAGCTTCCCAAGCTTCTTGAGTTGTTTTCCCCTTTAGGATTTTTATCCATGAAGTTTTGCTTAGGCTCTCTCTGAGTTTGTTAAAATCAGCTCTTTCCAAGTTTAAGACACTGATTGGATTATATTCTGTTGCTTGTGTTTGCATTATTTTGAATTCCAATATGACGTGGTCGCTCTTGCCTAAGGTTCCAGCAACTCTCTCTATCACTTCTTTTCTATTAGTAAGAATTAGGTCCAGTATAGTTTTTCTCTAATTCCCTCCTCTACCTTTTGGATGACAAAGTTGTCAGCTAAGTTGGTTAGGAATCTGTTCAATCTCCTACTTGCTGCAGAGTTTGTCTACCAGTTGATATCAGGGTAGTTAAAGTCTCCCATTACGACTCTGGAATGTTTCCCACATACATTTGTTAATTGATTAGCAAAGAGTTTATCTCTTTCTTCTGCTTGGTTGGGTGGTTTGTAGTATATGCCTATGGCAATGTCATTCTTTTTTTTCTTTTATATTGACCCATATGGATTCTAGGAGGTTTTCATCCTTTGTTCTATAGAGCTGTAGTGATCTTATATATATAATGCAACTCCACCTCCTTTTTTATTAGGTCTGTTTCTTGGGCTGGACTGGGCTTTTATGGACATATTTTTCAGAGTTTCCCACACTTCTTCAGTTGTTTTCCCCTTTAGGATTCTCATCCATTTATTGTTGCTGAAATAAAACATGGCTTTCTTCTGAAGTGCAAATATTGCAGACAAAGCTAGTTCTACAATACTATTTTCAACTTTATGGTACATCTCTGCCTAAGTGTTGCCAGATAGCAATTACTACTTTAGCTGTGGCTTTTCCTGAGTACACATCCTGTAAATTAAAACAAGACTTTACTAAAATAGCTAAATATAGCAATAGCACCATCTGTTGGCCTTTGCAGTCTACAGCACAATAAGGGAGGGGGAATTACAGTTATGTTAATTGGAATGCTTTAATTTGAATTCTTGCAGCAAGCAAGTTGCCTACCTGCCCACTTTTCACATCTGCAGATCTAGGATTCTGTTATTTTGCTATACATACTATGTTATATTTCTTCTGATAAAATAAAGTCCCACAGGACAACTGACAATTAAATGAATAAAAAAGGGGAAAGGTAATGAAATGAACCAGTTTTCAAAAAGGAATGGCTGCAACCTACAATGATATTTTGCAGGATATGCCCATTTTCTAAGTTCATCATGTCTATTTTCTATTTATCCCTCCCTGCTTGTTCATACTGATACAGAAGGGCCCTTATTTTTTACCCCTGTTGATGAGGACAATAGCATCACAGATCAAAAAGCATTTGGCAGCTTTTCCCTTTTCCCTCCTTAAACAGTCCCTTCTGGGAAAAGAATAAATTAATAATAATGATTAATAATAATAAAAATAATTAATAGGGAAACACTAATGGGAGATGC